ATAACATGAACTAATTGGAAAAAGGGAAAGTGTTCAGTAGAGTTGGGAAAGTGTTAGTTTAACTTATTAAGGCCTGCATAAAAGCGGAAACAAAAACGCAAAGAAACTGGGGATTTAGGCTAAGCTTGACGCTTAAATAAGTAAATAAATTGTTCAAATAAATTAGACAATGAGAAGTTTCATTGAAATATATTAAACTAATATTAAACAAAAAAAGCAATCCAATATCTTATATTTTTTTATTTCTTCAGGTCTTTGATCTCAGTAGTTTGTTTTGAAGGCATTAGAAATATTGTCTTGCACCACGCACATCATGATGAATCTAACATAATTAAAAGACTCCAAGATAATCAAGCTCTTCATATATTAATAACTCAACAAACAATTAAAGAAAAGATTGCAGATTACAGATTGTAGATAATTATCTATTTAATGCATTAAAGAATTATAAATAATTTTTTTTTAATAGACTGGAACAGAGCTTAATACGATTCTAGATCGAGATCACTATGGCAAGAGGCCGTCACAACTTAGTCATCATCATCTCAAATTGATGATAAATGGAAAACAATGTCGTGATCTTTGCAGAGCTGAAAGAATTTCTTGATTTCTGATTTCAATTAAATGACGAACGTGTCGAACCAGAGGCAAAACGCTTTCAGCAATTGCCACCGAACAGCGGGTCAAACTCTTTAATGATGACCTCATAAGGCAATCAAGCCAAATTGTTGGCTGCACTCCACACACAGACACAGAAAGTGAGTGAGTATTTCGAACCACGGTAAACCCCAACCGCTGCGGTTCGAGTCTCTGCTGTGTTTAATGAATTTATTTGAATGTTGGACAAATTGTGCACGACGGGCGAAATTTACGAGCCTTTACTTTTACGCTGTACGTTCTGTTCGAGTGGGCACTGTGCGAGGGGCCAGCCAGGGGCATCATGGGCACATGCCACAACGTGTGGAGTTGAGCGGCGGGTGGGGGGCGGGCAGAGGTGGAGCTCCAACTCTGCGATGTGTGTCAGTTTTACATTCACTTTGTACTCGTACCTTAGATATTAATTGCTGCTGCTGAAGACAACAGTCAAGACATTGTTGGCCTTTCTACTACGAGCCCAAAGCCCCCCGCAAGGCACCGCTTACAATTAGTTAGCTTAAGTGCACAGTAAACACACCCAAATGAAAACTTATAGAAAGGAGAAGTAATTTGAGATGTAATTTAATAAATAAAATAACCAAAAAACATATATATATATATATTTATAAATTAAAAAATTATTTGAAGGCAAGCCTAATGGAACTTAGTGTCTTAAAAATATATAGGCTTTTTACATATAATTAAATTTAAAATATAGGCACACCTTATTATTAGGTAGCCAGTGCATATGACACATAAAATTAGATTTAAACTGTATATATATTTATATTTTAATGCAATGCATTACATTCATTTTTTATTATTTTTTATTTTTTTTATTTTATGTTATTTTCATTGTAATTTATTAAACCCAAATGCTTTAGCACTTATCGAGCACTCACTGTATTACACTAACATGACTTACCATTAGTGAGCATTGCCGTTAACATGCATGCTAGCAGTGCGCCAAACAGCTGGCGCTGGAACTTTAGCCTAAAGCGAGTCTGGAACGGGCACATCATTTTCACTGTCGACTGCACTTTCCTGGCCTAGCCTAAACGAAGTGAAGGAAGACGTAGAGACCGAGGAAGACGAAGAGTGCGACGAAGGCAAAGTCGTGCGTGTGTATGTATGTGTGTATATGCGTGACTACGACGCTTTCGCTCGTTAACAATTGAAATAGAAGCAGTYGCTATTGTTGTTGTTGTTACTGCGAGTGCGACTGAGGCTGCGACGGCTGCTGCGACTGCGACTGCGACTACTTCTCAAGTTCAATACCAGCTATGCGACGGCGTGCAAAGATCACGGCGCACACGACTTGGAAGAAAGTTTTCAACAGTAGCTGTAGGCAGCGCCTGTGCAAGACAACTGCTGCAGGCTGCCAGCTGTGGCCGTACCTGAAGCTGAAGCTGAAGCTGTAGCTGTAGCTGAAGCTCAAGCTCAACGACGTCAACGACGAGGGCTAAAGCTCGAATTAACGGTTTTTAGCGGTTAACGTTTGGCTCATTTGGTGTGTTCTGTGCGCCGCCTGCGTTAATTCGGCTGCCTATTAAACATTAAAGCGAGACTTGCGGTAATTACGCAAAGAGCTCTATATAATCTGCTGGTAACTCGTCTCGCTATGACCTCTCGCACAATGTGGCATAATTTCTTTTTTATCGCCCTGCCTTTTAGTTGTTTGTTTGTTACTTTTTGTTGTTGTTGTTGTTGTTATTTTTTCCTTTTTGCACGTTGCTTTAATTCGATTTCAATTACGACTGTGTTTGCCTTTTGAAGTTTACCACAGTTACCGTTTGTTCAGTCAGCTCGTTCGTTCGTTCTTCTTCTTGTTCGTTTCGCTTCTTTTATACTTTGCTCTTTTATTTTTATTGTATGCACACAAAATATCTTTTGATAGTCTCTTTCGGGGCGGGCACTCGAGTTCTTTTCTTCAGTGTAGTTCGTTACTCTTTAACCGTAACCGTTTGAATTTGACTTTTTTGATGCGCGCTCGTTGAGTTTCGCATGCGAAGTGACTGATTCGCTGTGATGCGATGTTCCGTGCGCTGTCGACGTTGACGTTGACGCTGGACGTTACAGCGGCTGCATTATTTATTGTTGTTGGTGGATTGATGCTGGACTGCTGCGTTTTCAATGAATGAACACACACACACACTCATGCGCTACGTACGCTCGCAAACTCTCACACACGCACACGAACGCGAGCTTTGCCTTTTTACACATTCATAAAATTATAGGCTTCGCTTGTAGTTGTTGTCGATGCTGCTCCCTGTCTTTTGTTGCAGCTCCAGCTCCAATTCGACTGATGGGCGACAAACAAAAATCTTAGCTGTTGCGACTGCGCCGTCGTACCGAACGACACGAGAGAAAGGTTTGAATGACACTCACACTCGAATTTGCAATGCCATTTATATGAGTGAAAGGCAGTCGCAGCGCAGCCGCAGCGCAGTTGGCGTTAGTCGGGCGCCGCACAGTGGACTATTGAGAGAACCTATACGAAAATTATGCATTGGCCAGTAGAAGGTGAGATTTAAAATTTATTTTATGCACAAAATATTAAAAATATATTAAATTTATTAAAAAATTTACAAAACATATTATTATTATTACTAAATACAAAAAAATAGGAAATGAAAAATTATATTTAGTGAAAATAATTAAAAATAAAAAATAAAAAATGGAAAATAAATAAAAAAAAAACCGAATAATTTTTTTATAAATGTTAAACACAAATAAATTTATTTTAGTATACAAAAAAAAATATTTTTATTGATTTTAAATTAAAAACCAAATATATTTGTATAAATATCATCAAAAAAAAATTTTTACATCGAATGAAATTTTCTATACAGGAAGCTCCGACACAACAAAATAAAAAAAGCTTGCTGTTGCTATCTCAGCACACTGTGCAACGCCTTCGCAGTGCGGCGCTTAAAAAAATGCGGCCTTGACTGCGCTTTAGCCATTGATTAAATGGAGTTGTCGGTATTTAAAATAACAACTTGGTCATGTTGTCTAGCAGAAACCTAATCGGTTTTGCGTACAAATTTAATTTGCCAAAAGTGGCAGCAAAATGCAACCAAATAGGCGAACGGCACATTTGAAATTATAACAAAAAAATCGACTAGGCAACTGTGCAGGCGGTACAGACGGACGGACGGACAGACGGTTGCAAAAAAACCGTAGAAAGTGCGCACTGAAGCTGGAGTTGGAGTTTGAGTCGGAGACGGAGTCGGCATCGATGTCGATGCACAAAAGCCGCAGACGTTGCTAGCTGGAAGCTGTGTTTATAGAAAAAAAGACTTTTAAGCCATAAATTTTACGCCTGAGTGGCGTTGGCGAATAAGGGTCACAAAAAAACCAGCACACACACACACAGACACACGCACACCCATATGAGCACCCATACGCACATATATGTATGTATGTACATAAATAGGTGAGCTTTRGCGGAGAGTCGCGTGCATAAAGAAAATTTGAGAGCTGCAGCGCAGCAGCTGGCAGAAAAAAGAGGTCAGTAAGTGAATGTTTACAGTTAGCTTTTGGGCAGCCAGACAGCGTAAGCGGCATAATGCATCTGACAGCCATGACACAGCAGCAGCAGCAGCAGCAGCAACCGCCCAGAACTAATGCCACACCACTTCCAAAGACAACAAGAAATAAAACCAAACACAAAAATTAATTAAAAGAAAGCCTCGAGTAAAAAAACCTTTGGCAGCATTGCAATTTCTTTTTGGCCATAACCAAGATTTGATGTCGTGGTTGCCAATAAAAATGGAAAGTGAAAATTGTAGCTGCAATGCCTGCATGCATATTAAAAACAAAAAACAAAACCGCCACAAAGAAAAAAAAAAACCTAAAAACAAGTGTAATAAAGATAGAAGCCAAACGCAAGCAATAACAACGGCCACGCACCTGTTCTGCAGGTCGTGCGAGTTTTCATCGGCTCTAATCACAGGCTGAGCTAAAACGCCCGAGTATTATATAAAAAGTGATGATAGAGGAGCACTGAAATTATATGGCAAAATGGTAAAATCAAAAGTGCTTGTTATGAATGCACTTGTGAAAATGTACCAATTTCGAATTTGATGAGCCAGTAGCATACATAGTTATTTGCCATGTTTTTCACTAATTTCTAGTTTTCTTTACAATCTTATGCTAATTGTCCAACAAATTGGCAAAGCTCGTTAACGTTTATTTTCTCCACTCAATTTTCAAAAAGTAACAGTCTTAATTTATTAAGTCAGCACTGGCAAAGCAAATTTGCGTTACTCTTCGCATTTTGCAGCACTGCATTAAGTGTTGCTTTACACGATACTTGCCAAACTATCGATAGTTTTGTTTAACATCGCTACCCACACACACGCACGTACTAGCACACACATGTACGCACACAGCCACACTCATTGAAAAAGTCAGAGAATTGTGTGGGAAATAAAAATCGTGTATAACTAACTGCGAAACGCGCAAATTGTGCAAATGCGGATGCCCAGTGCTAAAAGCAAAGTGAACGTGTTAATAAAATCGGATGCGCTGGCTGTTTGGGCAGCTAAAAATTCATGTTGTCGCTGTAACGCAGCGCACTGAGTTAGTGAGTGAGCGAGTGTGCGTGTGTGTGTGTGTGTGTGCGTGCGTGCGCCTATGTGTGTGTGTGAAGAGTGAAACCTACAACTTTACTCCCCAAACCAACGGCCACACCAACAACAACGACGTCGACGACAACAACAACAACAGCAGCAGCGCAGCAGTGTTGAGAGAAAAGATGGCGACGAGTCGCACCAGTCGCATACAATCACAACCAAAAATTTTTCCTTCAATCTTTTCGAAATTACATGGAGCAATATCGGAGGCGTGCGTCTCACAGCGTCTATCCACGGACAAGAAGACGCTGGAGAAAACGTGGAAACTGATGGACAAGGTGGTCAAATTGTGCCAACAGCCTAAAATGAATCTAAAGAACAGTCCACCCTTCATATTGGACATACTGCCGGACACGTATCAAAGATTGCGTCTCATCTACTCCAAGAATGAGGATCAAATGCATCTGCTCCATGCCAACGAACACTTCAATGTATTCATCAACAATCTAATGCGTAAATGCAAACAGGCCATCAAACTCTTCAAGGAGGGCAAAGAGAAAATGTTCGACGAGAACTCACATTATCGTCGCAACCTAACCAAACTGAGTTTGGTCTTCTCCCACATGCTCAGCGAGCTAAAAGCTATATTTCCCAATGGTGTCTTTGCGGGCGATCAGTTTCGAATCACCAAAGCCGATGCGGCCGACTTCTGGAAGAGCAATTTTGGCAACAGGTAAGTACATACACTTCATTCAATCAAACAGACAATCAACACAATTTAATTATCTTTGGTGTAGTACCCTGGTGCCTTGGAAAATCTTTCGTCAGGAACTAAATAAGGTGCATCCAATATCATCTGGCTTGGAGGCGATGGCACTGAAGACAACAATCGATTTGACGTGCAACGATTATATATCGAATTTTGAATTCGATGTGTTCACACGACTGTTTCAGCCTTGGGTCACATTGCTGCGCAACTGGCAAATTCTGGCCGTCACCCATCCCGGCTATGTGGCCTTTCTCACCTACGATGAGGTGAAGGCGCGCCTGCAGCGCTACATCCACAAGGCGGGCAGCTATGTCTTTCGTTTATCCTGCACGCGACTGGGCCAATGGGCCATTGGCTATGTAACGGCCGATGGAGAGATCTTGCAAACAATACCCCAAAACAAATCGCTGTGTCAGGCGCTGCTCGACGGGCATCGGTAAGGAGACTAGGGTTAAGGCTACCGATTAATGCTGAGATCAGAGAAAGTATTTGGTTAACCTTTAGATATGTGATAGGGAGAAACTTTTAATTATAATTTATATATGCTTCGTTTATTCCATATGCTAATTACATTCTGCTTCTCCCCTACCCCATTTCAACTTTAGCGAGGGCTTTTACTTATATCCAGATGGCCAGGCCTACAATCCCGATTTATCCTCCGCCGTGCAAAGTCCAACCGAGGATCATATAACCGTTACACAAGAGCAATACGAGCTGTACTGTGAAATGGGTAAGTTTTGGCAATTTCAATAACGATCGATCACCCTAATTAAACCTCAACCTAAACCCTTGCAGGCAGCACCTTTCAGCTATGCAAAATCTGCGCAGAGAACGATAAGGATATACGCATTGAGCCTTGCGGCCATTTGCTATGCACGCCCTGTCTCACAGCCTGGCAGGTGGACTCGGAGGGACAGGTAAGCTAGTCGCATAATTAACGGATTCACTAATTTAATTTTTGCACTCAATAGGGCTGTCCGTTTTGTCGAGCGGAAATCAAGGGCACCGAACAGATCGTTGTGGATGCATTTGATCCACGCAAGCAACACAATCGCAATGCAACGAATGGACGACAACTGCAGCAGGACGACGACGATACAGAGGTATAGTTTAGAGCAGCGCTTATCAAGCAAACAAAAGAAAAAACAAAAAACAAAAACAAAAACAAAACAAACAAAAAAAGAAACCATAAGAAAGCCTTTGACGCCTGCCCCGCGCTGCCCGCCTGTGCTGCCTCTCTATCTCTATCTCTCTTATATATATACACATAATCTTATTAT